GGCCTATCTTACTCAATCATCACAATTATATCTTGAAACATGCCTACCATCTGTTGGAGATGTATATTGTATTTCGGAATCATATCGAGCTGAGAAATCTCATACTCGTCGGCATTTATCTGAGTAAGTTTTTTTTTATTAATATAATATTATGAATAGTTTATATATGTAATAATAATAATTTAATAATTTATTTAACAGGTACTCTCATTTAGAAGGAGAAATGGCATTCATTTCATTTGAAGATTTGTTAGATGAGTTAGAAGATCTGATTTGTGACACTATTGACCGTGTTCTTTCTCATAAACCAACTCGAGATCTAATCTACCAACTTCATCCAGATTTTAAACCACCAGAGCGTCCATTTATGCGTTTGGACTATAAAGACGCGATACAATATTTAAAAGATCACGATATTAAAAAAGAAGATGGTAGTTTTTATGAATTTGGAGATGATATTCCAGAAGCACCTGAACGTGCCATGACCGATCAAATTAATCGGCCAATTTTTCTTTGTCGCTTTCCCGCCGAAATTAAAAGCTTTTACATGAGTCGTTGTAAAGACGACCGTCGAGTAACAGAAAGTGTAGATGTACTAGTTCCTGGTGTTGGTGAAATAGTGGGAGGTAGCATGAGGATCTCCGACATGGTATATTCATAATATACTTTATTTTTTTTTTGAATTCATGATAATGAATATGAATTCTAAACACCTTCAATAACTTATAGAACGAGCTTTTAGAAGGTTACAAACGTGAAGGTAGGATACATAGTGTGCATATAATGTTTAAAGCAAAAAATTCTATAATAATTCATTGTGCATATATAATATTCTTACACAATTACCTAATAGGTATTGATCCTGCACCTTATTATTGGTACACGGATCAACGAAAATATGGTACAACAGAACATGGTGGCTTTGGTTTAGGCATTGAACGCTTTTTAGCGTGGTTGCTTCATCGTGATACTATTAAAGAGTGTTGCCTGTATCCTAGGTTTATGGGTCGTTGTTTGCCATGAGCTTTTTTTTTTGTTTACAAGTTCGAATGATGTAACATAAAAAGCGAGAGATTTGTATAAAATTTTTGAAAGATAGAAATAACATTTTCGATCCATTAAATTCGCTATTAATTTATTAGTAAGAATAGACATAAGTATATTATTTAAAAGTTAACGTTAATGGATTATAGTTATTTTTTGTTCTTCTAATGGAATTTAATGGTTACAGTTATTTTTGCTCTTCTAATGGAATGATTATAAATATTAAAAATGCAAAAATAACTATATAGCCGTATTCAATTCTACATCCCATCAACTAAGTAAAAATAACGGAAATTTCACATCATAATTCATTTTATATTAATTAGTAGTGAAATGAGTGTAAATGCCAATTATGCTAAGTTTTATATCGCATTTATGCTTATTATATACATAAACCGTTTTCACGTCGGTTCAATTGGTTATTAGCATTGTAAATTAAACTTATCAGCAAATAAATGAATTAGTGAACCTCACATGTCCATATTATTTATAATATGATGCGTGTGTCGTACTATCAGTACTATCTGCTTTTAACAGATTTATCCAAAATTTTTTCCTTTTAGATTCAGAATCTTATCCTGGGGTTATCCGTCTCTTGTTCTTTAGAGTTCGAGGACGATTTAATATTGACGGATATTTTTTCCTTTTTTTTTTTTTTTTTTTTTTTTTTTTTACACCTTTAATCACACCCTTTCTTCCCACTCAGTTTTATGTTTATGGTGTTTTCTAGCTCGCAAGGACTCAGGACTCAAAGTTATAGTTCAAATTCAACAATGAAACGTAGTAGCGAATACGGAAATCAAACTCACGATAATAGTATTAAAAAGCCACGTTTCGCAGGACAAGGTTACAACAGTAACTATTCATTACCAGGAGGTATGAGAAGTGACCTTTCACAAGGGTCTTCTAATACTGATATATATTATCAAAATCCACCGGTTGGTCCATCTTCAATGATGATGAGCAATCCTTCCTACTCTCAAGGTACTGCGGGGTTTCACCATCATCCTGGACATTCAAGTGGTCATTTTGCTAGTATGAATGCTTACCATCAAGCCGTCCCCTCTCAATACGCAGCTATGAATCAATTCACTCCCAGCGTAAATAGTATGGTCCCTCAGTTTACCAGTGCTTTCTCTGGCGCGCAGTTTCCTTCCTCTTACCAGCAAGCAGCCGTTAGTACCGCTACTGCAAACGCAACTGGTCGCACTGTATATCTCGGTAATCTTCCAGCGGAGGTTGATATCGAAGAAATGATGAATCAAGTTAGAGTGGGCCCAGTCGAATCGGTTCGAATCCTTAACGACAAGAGCTGCGCCTTTATCTCGTTCATGGACGGTGCGGCTGCTATGCTATTTTACCAAGATGCATCCACGCGTAAAATAGTTCTTAACGGTCAAGAACTTAAAGTTGGGTGGGGCAAGCCTTCTCCCGTTCCTATAACTGTTCAGGTAGCTGTTAATGCTCAAAATGCCTCGCGTAATGTTTATTTAGGGAACCTGGATGAATCCATAACCGAGGCTACTTTACGCGAAGATTTGTCTAAATATGGCACGATTGAGAACGTTAAAATTGTCAGGGAAAAAAATATCGGATTTGTTCATTTTATGTCAATATCTAATGCAATGAAAGCTGTACAAATGCTTCCAACCGATCCAAAATATGCCGGCAAAAAAGTTAACTATGGTAAGGATCGATGCGCACAGAGGTCTAGTGTAGGAAACGGAGTAACACCGCAATATGCGTTTCCGGCTAGTTCCCTTAATTTTCAAAGTTTTGGCAGTGCAGCTATGGGTTTTGGTTTTGACCCATATCATTCCGCTTCTGTCGCTGCCTCAAGTCATATTGATAATGGTTCTGAACTGCGTAGTCCTACAAGTCCTTTGTTCTCTTCCGCTTCTTCTGCAGCTGGTAGTACGGCTTCAGGATCAGCTGCCGGAAATCGAACTGTTTATCTTGGAAATATTCATCCAGACACAACTTGTGAAGAAATATGCAATGTTATCCGAGGAGGAATTCTTCAACAAATTCGTTATATGCCAGAAAAGCATATCGCTTTTGTGACTTTCATTGATTCTAGTTCAGCAAATAGTTTCATGTATATTGCACAACAAACAGGTGTGGTGATCAAAAATCGACGACTTAAAGTTGGATGGGGAAAGAATCCAGGACCGTTACCTGGTCACATTCAATTGGCTGTAAGCACTCAAAGTGCCTCACGCAATGTTTATGTTGGACAACTCGACGATAATATCACTGAAGAAAAACTTCGACAAGACTTTTCTGAATATGGTGATATTGAACTGGTGAACATTCTTAAAGAGAAGAGTTGTGGCTTTGTCAATTTTACTTCCATTATGTCCGCCATCAAGGCCATTGATCAAATTAAGCTGAAGGACGAATATAAAAAGTATCGGATTAATTATGGTAAAGATCGTTGTGGTAATCCACCAAGGGGCATTACAATTGGTGGAATCAACAATGGTAGTGTTATGAAGAATAGTAAGGGACGTAACAATGGCGAATCCGATGCTAGAGTTCTTCATGCTGGAGATACTTCGGAATCTGATGGTAGGAATATCGATAGTATCGAAGATGACGGTGTAGAAGTTGATGACGAATAGAGAAAGGCACG